AGAATATGTGCTTTTTCATATATATAACTAGAGGCCTGGTGCACGAAATTCGTGCGGGTGGGAGGGGGTGTCCCTCAGCCTGACCTGCACCCTCTCCAATCCAGGAGCCCTCAGGGGATGTCCTACTGATGGTTTAGGCCCTCTCCCCATGGTTCTCTGCTTTCTGTAGGGCCTGCCTGCTCCACACCAAGGCAACTGCCAAGCAGGCCATTCTGGGTGCTGCCTGCAGGCTGCACTTCACTGCTCCTGGGTCGCTGAGGCTGTGCTGGGTGCTGCCGGCTGCCATGCTTGCCTACTCCAGGGTTGCTGCAATGAAGGCCAAGCAGGCCTTAGGAATTGCCTTCAGGCCATGCTTCCCTCTTCCCTGGCTGTGCTGGGAGCTGCTTCCTCTCTGCTGTCAGAGGTGATGAAGTTAATTTGCATAATCACACCTGATTAGATGGTGGGCCTATAGAAGGTACAGTCAATATGCATGGCTTGGCTCAGTGAATAAAGCGTCAGCCTGCCGATTGAGGGTCCCTGGTTCAATTCTGGCCACGGGCACATGCCTGGGTTGCTGGCTCCATCCCCAGTGGGGGGCGAGGGGAAATGATGGTTCAGGAGGCAGCAAGTCAATGATTCTCTCTCATCATTGATGTTTCTATCTCTCTCTCCTTTTCCCTTCCTCTCTGAAATATATATGTATTTATTTTAATTCCGTTTTCAGATTTTCATTATGTGCCGACAGATGTTCAAATAACCTTGTAAAATACTTTCAAAACGACAATAATGACTATGATGAGGTACAAGCAAAACATAAGGAGATTCCAATTCTAAATTTCGCCACATTTTACATTTGTATTTACGTTGTGGCAGCTCTACGTACTTGATGTGAATCGCGAAAGCCTGTATTAAACCGCATGAGATTCTCCATGGAGTGGAAGTGCGCAGTCCATCCATCCCTCCACCCATTTCACAGATGAGTTCACTGTGATTTCCGTGTCTGCTTTCAAAACAGCGTATCCTCTGCGCTCTCACCTGGCACAAAATAAACACTCAACCAATGTGTATAACGTGAACGAAGAAGGCAAGGAGAGGCTGTGTGAATTCCCCAAGGCCACCCACCCTTCCTGCTCCCTGGGGAAGTGAATCCGACAAGAAGGTGACCAGTCGGCGGCGGCGGCAGCAGCGGCGGGCTAGGTGGTGAATCTGGGGTGAGCCAACCCAGACTTCCGCTTGGGGCGCGCCCTTAGGGTGCCCGGGGTCTTCCATGGTGCGCCTCACCCTCCTGGGAGGTGGGGAGGGGGGTCACATCACCCTCTGACTCAGAGACGCCCCGCTCTCGTTTCTCCCACCTGCGATCACAGGCTCTTAGGGGGTTTCCAGCCCGGGGCGGGGAGTCTCCGGTGTGGGAGTGACGGGTGCCCCTGGAACGCAGGGGAGAGGAGCCAGCCTTTCCTACCCTGTGCTCGCCCGGAAGGAGCCCGGGGAACGGGAGAACGGAAGGCGGTCTAGGGGGACGGGGTGAAGGTGGCCTGATCGGAGCAGGGAGTCAGCGTGTGCCCCAGGCTCCCCTCTCGCACACACCCCCACCCCCAGCCCCGCCGCCCTCCCGCCGCGTCGCAGCCCTTGGACCACCCTTTGCCCTTAAAAAGGCTGCGGAGCGCGCCTCCTCCCCGGGAGCGAGACCCGGCAGGCCCGGCGCTGAGCGTGCCCCCGCCTGCCCGCCCTGCCGGGCGCCGGCCGCAGCGCCCCCGAGGCCGCGGGGCGGGGACGTGCGCCCGCCTCCCCCGGCGCCCGCGAGCCGCCCCGGCCCGTGCATCCTGCCCGGGAGCCCGCGAGCCGCCCCGGCCGCCGCAGCCCCGCGGAGCCGCAGCCGCCGCCGTGCGCCCCCGGAGCCCGCCCCCGACTCCGCCCGGGTGGCCTCTGTCCAGGCCTCTAGGGGCGCCCCCTCCACGTGCGGGTCTGCCGGGCTGCACGCCGCCGGCTCCGAGGAAGAAGGTGGGTGCCCAGGGGCTGGGGCGAGAGGGGGCGGGAGGTCGGTGGAGAGGGGAGGGTGGGCCACGCCGATCCCTGGGACCCCCGGCCCGCGACTCTCTCCAGCGCGCTTTCACTTCAATGGCTGTTGAATTAAAAATAAGGTCCTTGGGGTGCGGCAACCTTCTGCAGCCGGGCACAGCGCGCCACGCAAAGTAAACTGCCCAGCCCGGGTGCTGCCTTCATGGGGGGAGGGAGGGGGAGGGGGGAGAGGTCAGAAGGGGTGCGGGGTTTCCACCTACCCACTATCCACCCGGGACCCGGACCCTGCAGAATTGACAAACGACAGGCCTTCCGAAACTCACACTCTGATCTTCCACGGGGAGCATGGAGGCTCTTTCCCCTATCTACCTATCTATCATCTGTCTGTCTAATCAATCTATTATCCTTTGTCTCGTTTTCTGGTCTGTCTGCCTTTCTTGTTTTCTTTGTTTGTTTGTTGTTTGTTTGTTTCTGCCTACCCCCCCTTGTCCCTCCGTCTCACTTTCGTTCCTGCGTTTTCTCTCCCTGGAGGATAGGAGGAGGTAAGCAGCTGGGCTGCACCCCAGCAGGCACTTCTGCAGGTGGCCTTGCCTCTTGTTCTGGCCTCTAAGATGCCCTTTCACGGCTGAAGTTGGCTGCTCCGCTCCACAAGTAGCAGCTTGCTGCAGATGAGAAATTCAGTAAAAATGAAGGCGCGGGAAGATAGGGTAGGAATGTGGGAAAACCAGATTGTCTAATTTTAGCCTGGGTTTGTTGTGAGGGAATCACACCATCTGTTGCCTCAATGCGAAGTGTATTTGATTGCCCAGGTAAGAAAAGAAAAGACCTTTATGTGTGATTGCTCATGGACTCGCCTTCAAAGAAAGGTTATTTTCTTTATGGACAAAACGTTTTTAAATAACTAAACTCCAAGTCATAGCATTTTAGAAATTGTAAAGCTGTTATGGTCAAACCGCTCAATGCCCTGTTATGAGTTTGTCTGTGAAGGTGATATCTTGATTGTCTCCTCATTGGGGAATAAATATTTAGGTGAGAAGAAATGCTATGGAGAGTTTAGCTCACGTGTTCTTAAGAGTTTTATTTCATATTGGTGTCGCAGCAGTATCAAGGATGTGTCCCCAGGGTAGTGGGTAAGAGTTTAAAGTTAGAAAGACCTAGATTTCTGTCTGTGCTCTACCATCTAACTCGCTGTGTGCTTTCCAGCAAGTTGCCTAGCTTCTCGGATCCCAGGTTTCCGTTTGGGATTGCTGACAGGGCGGAGACAACACAAGAATAGTAGTTAACACAGAATATACCACCCAGTAAGCATATAATAAGCAGTACTTGAGGCTGATGAGGAGGAAGGGGGTAGTTAAAACTGATATACCCACAGCAGGGCACTGCCCCAGCAGGGGGTCTGCATATGCAAGTATCTGCACGGGGGAGGAGCAAGCATTATTATATCACTGGCATCCTTCTGGTCATAAAAACATTAAGAGCTACTTCTGAACTTCTGAATTGATTCAAACAAATAAAAATCTGTCCTGTGCCTAGTCAGAATTGCATTGTGTATTTCGAGGTACTCTGAGGCTTACAATTATGAGCAATTTCAAATAAACACCAAACCGGTGTGACCCTGGTGGATTAATTATTGCTTATTATTATTAAAAACAGTTTTTCTCAAAGGTCACTATAGTCCCTGGCTTGATCTTGATTTGGGTAGGTGGAGGGAGGAACTGGACCTGGAGCTAATGTTTCACTGAGTTGTTTCAACTCAAAAGGGTGAGCCACAGACTGGCATCACATAGAGTTGGTGATGCATGCAGGGTCCACCGAGACCTGCTGGATAGAACCTGCATGTTCATGAGATCCAGAAGGGATTCCTGGGCACTTTCGGTTTGATCAGCCCTTTCTTAAGAATTTGAGTGCACCGATGTTGTTTTTTTAAACAACATGGATTTCTCATAAGCTGTCTTTACCTAGCCAAGTGAAAAAGATTTGTTATCACATACATGACTGATTTTGATTTAAAATCTTTAAATAGCCAGGTGACATATTATCATTCACTTTCTGTTTACAAGTAACAGAGAGCCCAAGCCAATGTGGCTCAGTGGTTGAGCCAGTCAACCCATGAACCAAGAGGTCATAGGTTCGATTCCCGGTCAGAGCACATGTCTGAGTTGTGGGCTCTATCCCCAGTATTGGGGGTGTGCAGGAGGCAGCTAATTGGTGTTTCTCTCTCATCATTGATATTTCTATCTCTCTCCTCCTCCCTTCCTCTTTCCTAAGATCAATAAAATCATACTTAGAACTAACAGAAAGCTAATATTTTCAGTTCTGCCAACTCTGGATTCCAGTGTTTCTATAATATTACCCCCTTGAAACGTCTCTGTTTTGATACTGCTTAGCTGAACTAGACACTATTTTGCTATATTTTTAGTTTTTGAATTTTCATACTGGAAGATGTCATTAATATCTATAGGAGGACTATAATAATACCTATGTATTATATTACAGATAAAGATTTTAATGACATCCTTTTAAAATCAGCTTTATTAAAATATAATTTGCGTACAACAAAATGTATTCAATGGTACATTTAAAATCTGTGTTTTATTGTATGCAAATTATACTTAATAAAGTGGATTCTTTCTCAAGGTGTCATCAAGGATTGCTGTGATTTGATGTCGGTTGCTAGAATAGTTCAGAGAATGTCGAGGAATGTCGAGAAAAGTCAGTGGAGAGGGAAAATGAAGGTTGACACATTGGGCAGGCACAGAAGATAAAAAGCAAGTGGTCTTGGGAGACATGGAAGATAAATTTAGAAGGCTTGAGACCCTTGGTATAATACTTTCTTGTCTTTAAAATTAAGATGCAGAATTTAATATCTGGGGCACTGAGGATGCTGCAGATTTTTTTTTCAAGAAGAGGCCAACATAAAAAAATAAGCATAAAGACATTTTGCTCCACAGGTCTCCTTCTCATGTTCTGATCTCTGTCAGCAGACACCTGCATTTGCCACGATGCTCTCAGCCAATGACTTTGCATCTGCTTCTTGGGAGCTCGTGGTCCGAGTGGACCATCCGGATGAAGAGGAGCAGAGGGACGTCACTCTGAGAGTGTCCGGAGACCTGCACATTGGGGGAGTGATGCTCAAGTTAGTAGAACAGATCAGTAAGTTCCTGTTTTGTTCTGGAGTCTCTACATTTGAAACCCTCTCTGTTGCATCACCACTGATCTAAGTTGTCTGATCACCTACATTTTTCTGATCATTTATTTGGTAATGGCCCAGAAAGCAAGTACCCTTCCCCCAAGAAGAAGAGAACTAAGGAGTCTCAAACTAAAAAAAAAAAAAAAGTCTCAAACTAACCCGCCCCTTATAACCTTTGTAAAAACATGAGTCCCTGGTGACAAACTAAAGCTTCCGAGTAGATAAAATGCCATGTTTCCACAAGAATGAGCCCATTTTCCTGGTGATATCTAGGGTGACCGCAGGCTTTTTCAAAGGAGCTGGACTTCTGTTAATGCCTGATTGCCCAGTGATAAAGTCAACTTGGTGTTAATTTGTCTTTTCACACATGTCCACCATCTGCTACTCTCTCTTCTTAAACAGAGAAAGAGAAATCCTCAGGGTCCGAGTTTCACATCAGGAGTCAACATGATCAACCTAGAGTTTAATAATGTTCTGTTTGCTTTGTATTTATTTTTATCTTCTAAGGCCATGGGTGTGGGCTCTTCGTTGATAGTAGAGAAAGGAAGTTCATTGAATTTTCAAAGTCATGTAACCACCACCCATGTCAAGAAATAGACCATTACTTGTTTCCCCACCCCAGTCCCATACCTGACCCCACCTTGTCACTGCCCCACCAAAGGTAGCCACTAAGTCAAAAAGAGAGAGGGAAAGAGAGAGAAATCATTTTTTACAAAATAAGTAACAACACTGGTGGCTCTTCAGTTAGCAAATTAAACACTGACTATTGACTCCAACATTGATGCGGGGAAACGATTCAACTTGGATGCCAACACTGAAGAAAGGGGCAGTTTCCATGTTGATGCTAACACTCAGAAAACATTCAGCTCTGATGTCAGTGTAGATACTTTGGAAACTGGGAATATGATAGTTCTGATGAAAGAGCCGGGCATTACCGAGACAAGTGGCGTGTCAGCTTTATAGAACTTCCATGTGGGCTCTGATTGGGCGCTGTGGATATTCCCTTGTGATGAAGGAGAAGGGAGAAGGATGCATGTCTTAGTGGAGAAATTATCTTGATTAAACAAAGCAAAGTGCTCCTGGCCTTCCCAGAAGGGACCATCCACGGCACTGGGAGATTGAAGGAAGAGAACTTCAGCATTTCAATAAGAACAGAATTTGTGTATTTCTGCTCCTTCCGCGGTATTTTTAAGTATCAGTGATAGTAAGAGTCAGTCCGTTTTCTACCTGTCCCGCCTTAGACTCTTTGAAGAGAAGCCAAAAATTGTTGAGCCTTGGGTTCCACCGGGAGGTGGGGCACTGAAGAAATGAAGTTTCCATTTCTGCACACGGTGGGATTGTCTGGAGTGCCCTCCCTCTCGTTTTACTTCGCTGTGTTGTCTATCTTTGCAGACATAGCCCAAGACTGGTCAGACTTTGCCCTTTGGTGGGAACAAAAGTGTTGCTGGCTCCTGAAAACGCACTGGACCCTGGACAAATGCGGAGTCCAGGCAGATGCAAAGCTTGTCTTCACCCCTCAGCACAAAATGCTTCGCCTGCGCCTGCCCAACGTGAAGACAGTGAGATTGCGAGTCAGCTTCTCGGCTGTGGTGTTCAAAGCGGTCAGTGATATCTGCAAAGCCTTGAGTGAGTACCCTGGAGGGGCCCCCATACCCTTTGGACTTTTGGTCAAGGAGGGCAGGAAAATGCCGGGTGCTCCCTGCCTGCCTCGAGTGGCTGGCTTTCCAGAGTACTGCCCTCCTTAGGAAACACTTTTCAAACCCAATTCTGAGGATGTGAACCATTGAATCGGAGTTAATCCCACCGGGACATTATTGAGATACTTCAGATTCATTTCCACAAAGCTTAACACTGCTACAAAAGAGATTTATACTCAGAAGAAACAAACCCATTACAATCCCCCAAATTCATTTCTCTTAGCCAGAGTAAATCATCATTATATTTAAGACAAACAAAAAAAGAGTTCCATTAAATCATTATCACCTTGGAGCCAATGCACCCTTATTAGTTTTGAGAGGATGGTGGAATAATGTCTTCATTGCTTCTCTAACACTTGGCTCCAATAGCCCTATCCACAAAAACCCTACGCAGAAAAGTACACTTAATTATGGATTGAAACAAATGGATACCATTGCCGAAACCGGTTTGGCTCAGTAGATAGAGTGTCAGTCTGCGGGCTGAAAGATCCCAGGTTCGATTCCGGTCAAGGGCATGTACCTTGGTTGCGGGCACATCCCCAGAAGGGGGTGTGCAAGAGGCAGCTGATCGATGATTCTCTCTCATCGATGTTTCTAACTCTCTATCCCTCTCTCTTCCTCTCTGTAAAAAATCAATAAAATATATATATATTTTTTTAATGGATACCATACCATAAGTTTAACAGCCGTTAAGGACAGCATCATCCAATCACCCAAACCCTTCTTTTTTTGTGGGACTTCTTTAGTGGTAGTAAACCTTGCCTTGTAAGGGTGTTCTTATTTTATACTAGAGGCCCTGTGCAAGGTTTCGTGCACCATTGGGGTCCCTTAGCCTGGCCCTGTGCTCTCTCACAATCCGGGACCCCTCTGGTTTCAGCCAATCTGGCAGTCCAACATCCCCCAAGGGGTGTAGTAGTGAGTGAAGTGGCAAGTGGCCAGGGAGGAGCTCAAGCCCGGCCCGGTGCCACACCACTCCTGCTCATCCTGGCCCCACTGTGCCTGCTGCCACTGCCAAGGAGGCAGGAGAGGCTTGTGCTCGCCAGCTGTGAGCCTGGCATCTGGCACCAGTCAGCAGAGTGGTGCTCCCACTGTGGGAGCACAATGACCACCAGGGAGCAGCTCCTTCATTGGGTGTCTGCCCCCTAAGGGTCAGTGTGCATCATAGCAACTGGTCAAGTGGTCAACCGGTCACTTAGGGTTTTATAGAGAGAGATTTTTTTTTTTAAGGGTAGAGGTAAATTCTTTGGTCCCAAGACTAAGATGCAGCATTTGAAAACAATCTATACAATGTATACATGAGTGATCTGTCTTCCCCAGGAAGCTATCAACTGCTCATTCATTCCTTCAACAAACATGTATTAATTAGGCAAGCATTGTGGTGAATGCTAAGGATATGTAAGTCATGAAAAGTAGCCCAAAATCTCTTCCCTCCTGAAGCTTACATTTTAGTTTACAGAAACAGAAAATAAATAATAAATGTAAAAAGTAAGATGTTAAAAGGAAATAGTAGGGGAAAAGGAAAAAGTACAATAGTATATATAGGCTTGGGAATGCCAGTATTGGGCATTGGAAGCTGGTATGGTATTTAACAGGGTGAAGAAAGAAACCTTTATTTTTATTTTTTTTTATTTTTTTGAGCACGCCCAGCACAATGCCTGCACACATTAGCTGTTGAATAACGTGAGTGACAAACGAATGGAACCTCCCATTTAGAAATATAAGTTCTAGCCGAAACCGGTTTGGCTCAGTGGTAGAGCGTCGGCCTGCGGACTGAAAGGTCCCAGGTTTGATTCCGCTCAAGGGTATGTACATTGGGCCAAGACCGGTTTGGCTCAATGAATAGAGCGTCGGCTTGGGGACTGAAGGGTCCCGGGTTCGATTCTGGTCAAGGGCATGTACCTTGGTTGCAGGCATATCCCCAGTAGGGGGTGTGCAAGAGGCAGCTGATCGATGACTCTCTCTCTCATCGATGTTTCTAATTCTCTATCTCTCTCCCTTCCTCTCTGTACAAAAATCAATAAAAATATATTTAAAAAAAAAAAAAAAAGGGTATGTACATTGGTTATGGGCACATCCCCGGTAGGGGGTGTGCAAGAGGCAGTTGGTCAATGTTTCTTTCTCATTGATGTTTCTAGCTCTCTATCTCTCTACCTTCCTCTCTGTAAAAAATCAATTAAAAAGAAAAGAAAAGAAATATAAGTTCCATAGTGCCTCTGCTGCATGGTGAGCAAGTGGCAAACACCAGGCACCTTGTTTTCAGTAACATTCTATTGAGGATTTGAAAATCATTTCCTTTTTGTGGGACTTAATGAATGATTAAATTAGACCAAATTTCACAGTAGACTGGAAGCACACATCATACCTGGAACCAAACACTTGAGGTTTTGAAGTAAATGGAAACCGTCAGATGTTCTTCTCTTTTCCAGATTATACCTCTTCGTGGTGGTTCTAAAAGGCCCAACTGGCATTTCTACTACCCTCTTTCTATCTGATCAATAGAAGGTAGATAAAATTCACCAAAATGATGGATTTTCCCTCAAGGAAAAGAAAAGGCAAATAATTAGGCTTGGAGATACGTTTTGTTTGTTTTGATTTGGTGTTTTGTTTTGTTTCTAATGTTTACCACTGGACATCTTGATTCATCTCTAGGTTTTGTGTATAACTTATGCATTTGAAGTGGTCACAGGTGCATGCTGCAACCTGATGGTCAGACATCTTTGGTTACTGGGGAGAGAATCGAGCTGAACTACCAGCCTCAGCCTCAACACGAAGCAGCGTTTGAGCTGAGAAGTGGGAGGAATCAGTTCACTTACCTCCGGGAGAGCTGCCCAAAGACTAACATCACATTCCCTGGCTTTTCCCTGGGATCGTAGCAGCTCAGTGCGGTTAATGGCAATGATAAATGTATTTCATTAATGGAGGGAAATGGGATAATCTTCTTAGTTTCAGTTCTCCAGAAGCAGACCCTGAGATAAGGATTCCAGTGCAAATATCTATTTATTTGGGAAGGAGGGGTAAAGGGGGAGATGGGAAACACTGATTACAAATGGGGACGTGAGACTAGGCAGAGAAGGCCACCAATAAGAGATTGTCCCAGTCGAAACTGGTTTGGCTCAGTGGATAGAGCGTCGGTCTGCGGACTGAAAGGTCCCAGGTTCGATTCCGGTCAAGGGCATGTACATTGGTTGCAGGCACTTTTCCAATTGAGGGTGTGCAGGAGGTGGCTGGTCGATGATTCTCTCTCATTGATGTTTCTAGCTCTCTGTCCCTCTCCCTTCTTCTCTGTGAAAAATCCATAAAATATATTTTAAAAAATAAAATAAAATGGAACTGCCACTCTAAAGAGAGAGAGAGAGAGAGAGAGAGAGAGAGAGAGAGAGAGAGAGAGAGAGAGAGATTGTCCCAGCAGAGACATGTCTCAGAGCCATCCCACCCAAGGGCCAAGGCAACTGGGTGTTAACACGCCACGCACCAGTCACCGGGGCTGCTCTTGGAGAGCTTTCATTCTCTGAACTCTGGCTCGTTGCGCTGTATCTGGGCAGTGTAGCCTCCGGTGTTCAGAGCAAGCCCATGGGCAGACACATGTCCCCAGCTGCCATTAGTAGTCAGGTCAGAGTGCACTGAAAGGGTGAGGTGAAGAAGAGGTGGGCAGGTGCCAAGGATGCCACCGGGATGAAAGTGGCAGCTGGGCATCGTCTAAGAAAAGGGCTCTCTGGATCTGTGATCCATGAAGAAAAAAGGTGGGGCCCTCGGCTGTGGTTTAAAAAACTGAATAAAAAGATAAGGAGGGAGAGAGAGGGAGGGCAGAGGGGAGAAAGAAAGGGGGGGGAAGAAGGAAGGAAGCAACAAAAGGAGGGAGGGGAAATTGGTGATAAGTAGGTGACATAAGAATAGCAAAAGTCTGGTTGAGGTTGGGTGATGAATCCATAGATGGACCATTATACTATTCCCTTTGGTTTAGATACATTTGAAATATTTTCACAATAAATCAAAAAAACAAAATGGAAATATTACTAGATTGAATCTCCCTCAACTATTTGACCTCCCTGTACCCTTATAGGTTTTGGGGGGCGGGGAGTCTCATTCCTTTCTGTTTCTTTAAAAAGGAGTGCAATCTAGTTCTATTACTTCTCTGGAATTTCCTGAGAAATGGTTTCAAGTGCCCAACAGGGTTTTTTTTGTTTTTTTGTTTGTTTGTTTTGTTTTGTTTTCAGTTTTTCTTATTTCTTTTTTATACTTATTTGTTAGATATTAGAAGACCAGAAGAACTTTCCTTGTTGAAACCTTCTAGTGACTATTTTAAAAAGAAGAAGAAGAAAGACAAAAATAATAAGGAGCCCTTAATTGAAGACATTTTAAACCTGGAGAGTTCTCCAACAACTTCTGGGCCACCAGGTAAGAATTGTGACAGGTGCTTTGTTGTTTTAATTTATTCTGAAAGCCAAGAGTTTTTTAATTTTTTTTTTTTTTAATCTTCACTCAAGATTATTTTTTTCATTGATTTTTAGACATAGTGGAAGGGATGGAGGAAAGAGGGAGGGGTAGGAGGGAAAGAGAGAAAGAAACAGAGTGAGAGAGAAACATCGATAGGAGAGAGACACATTGATTGGTTGCCTCCCACTCCTGTCCTGGGAATTGAACCTGAGGCCCTTAGATCCTCGGGCCAACTCTCTAACCACTGAGCAAACCAGCCAGGACAAGAGTTACTTCAATTTTTACATCCCAGGAACTCTCCTCCCCTCTGCTCTTTCTTCTTGTCTCTCCCTTCTCCTTTTTCCTCCAAACAAAGAAGGGCTAAAATTGCAAGAGTCCTATGTTGAGGAAAGGATATCCAATTAATTTTAGAACTAACAGAATTTTTTTTGACAAGATATGCTTTATAGCTCATTATGTTAATTGCATGTATTATGTAGTATAATAGAACTGGCTGTGAATTTGAGGGAGGAAACAGATTATTTGGATCACTCAAATATACTTCTGTTTTCCTGGTGCAATCTTCATTTGACTTTTTTATGAATCCCATTTAAATTTTGCACTGGACATGTAAAGGTAAAAATTCTAGAAAGGCTTCATTCTTTTCTTTTTATATAAAAATATAAGAAGCTGGCTTGTTTTCAACATTTGAAGGTTTGCTTACATAGTATATTCCAGTGCAAAGAATAAAAGGAACTATTTGCATTTTTCATAAGCAACATAAAGGCAGATGACATATAAACCATTAATTAGCTGGGTTCTTAAAATTGGCAAGTGCTGCTATTTCTTTAAAGAACTTGCCCAAAATATAGTCTGTTCATACATTCTGTGAGATCTCTGGTTCTCTAATAGCGTGAAAACTCACAGCTAAAGCAGAGGAATTTTGAATTGCTGAGGAGGATGTAGTCTCCCACACTTAACGTGGGTTGACTGTGGAAGCTTTTGCAGCCTGTCAGTTCCCAAGTTCTCAGTAGCTAACCCTTCAGGCAAGCACTTTACCTGTGTATAACTCCTCCCCCATCAGTCATGACTTCTCTGATTATTTTAAATGTTACAACTATGTAAATTCAAAACCTATTTCAGTGTCATCAATGTGTACTTATTTTTCCAGACGTTTCTACTCCCTGAATCTCATATCCTAGTGTGTGTTCCCCTTTGCCTTACAGTAAGTCCCGGCTTGTACAGTAAAACCATGACTCCCACGTATGACCCCGTCAACGGAACGCCGGTGTCATCCACTATGACGTGGTTCAGTGACAGCCCTTTGACCGAACAAAACTGCAACATCCTCGCCTTCAGCCAACCCCCACGGTCCCCGGAGGCGCTGGCTGAGATGTACCAGTCTCGGTCTCTGGTCGATAAAACCAAGCTTAACGCAGGGTAAGGATGTGGCTCCGTGTCGCTTCTCTGTGAACGGACACTGGTGTGGTAAGAGAGATGCCACAGAGATGGGGAGAGCTTGTTTATTTTTTAAATTAGAGAGCCTGGGGATTGCACACTGTTAGCAAAAGTCAGGACTGATTGTAGCAACAAAAAAGGAAAAAATAAGGCCTTTGGTCATTTCAATACATATAAAGTGTGATGTCCCTTATGTGTTTGGGTAACCCAGTGGTTTATCATATGTGAATAGCAATCCTTTCCCCCTAAGGTGTGCAAAGTGTATTTTATGGGAGATCAAGCAGTTCCTCAGTGGGTTGGAACCCTGGTCAGGGGGAGACCCAAGCGGAGACTTTGCCCATGCTGCCTTGTAGAATGCCGCTTCTCTCCTCAGGCGTTATAGCTCGTTATGTTAATTGCATGTATTATGTTTCTGATGAATTAGAAAACTTGTAGAACTTAGTAGAGCAAGTCCTTCAGTTTTGCTTCAAGTGGGCTCAAAAGACACACTCAAACTACATCTCAGACCACTGGTTCTTTTCGCTCCCCATTGTTCACCAAATAAAATCAGCTTTGTGGACAGCATTCCACTGCCTGTGCTATCTGGCCCTGCACTGTCTTCCTGTCCTACTGTGTACCCCGCCCGCATGGTGCACCCCAGGACTCTCCTCCTCTCCTGCTCTCCAGTCAGCCCCTGTTTATCCTTCAAGGCCCAGTCACACACTCTCTCCTTTGTAGATGTCACCATTCAAGATGGGTCACTTCTCTGTAGCTCTGTTCTCATACTTGGCTTGCCCAGCGTCACTCTCTTCCTTTATTAGGAGGCGTGGTCTCTCCCCCTGGACCAAGACCTTTGGGCTGGAGATTGCATCTTGGGGGCTAATTTAATAAAAGTTCAAGCCATTTTCATTCAGTGTTACATTCATTCCCACCTGGTTTTGTGGTTAATGTTTAATCTCCATCCCTCCACCTCCCACCATTACCCATTGTGTGTGTAGGACTAAACTATCTAGTATAGGAGCCACTAGCCACATGTGGATATTTACATCTAAGTTTGAATTTAATTAAAATTGAAATGTGGCACTAGCCACATGTAAATCTTCAGTAGCCACAAGTGGCTAGTGGCTACTCTATTAGACAGGGCCATACAGAATGTTGTAATTACAGAAAGTTCTAGACAATAAGATAGAGCCAGCTTTGGGTCAGACCACCTGGTGTAGGGGAGAGGCTGTGCAGGCAGTCACCTGGTGTAGGGGAGAGGCTGTGCGGGCAGTAACCTGGGGTAAGGGAGAGGCTGTGTGGGCAGTCAGCAAGTGCAGATTCTCATTCTGGCTCCACCACGAAGTACAGGACCTTAATTCAGCATATCACTGAATGTCACTGAGACTATTTTATCGTCTATAAAACTGAGGAAATAAAAACTGCTCTGGCTTCTTCACTGGGTTACTTTAAAGTGTCAATAAGAAAAATTAATAAATAAATAATATATAGATATACATATATACACACACAGATACATAGCAATGGGAAAGCTGTAAGATAAAATATAGATATAAGCTAGTTTCAAGTTCTCTCCCTTACTGGTTTTTGGTCATATTACTTACTCGGATTTTGTTCAAGGAGATATGTGTATGCATGTGTATATAATGTAAGTATATATAACATACATTACATGATGCATATATTACATATAGCATAGATAACATGTAAACATATTCAATAATGCTGTAACGTACATGTATAAGCTGATGAGCTTTTGTAACATCCTGCGTTTTGCAGTTGGCTGGACTCCTCGCGTTCCCTCATGGAGCAGGGCATCCAGGAGGATGAGCAGCTGCTGTTACGATTTAAATACTACACCTTCTTTGACTTGAATCCCAAAGTAAGATACTCTTTCTCTAATCTCTGTCTTTTTGAAAATGTGACTCCATGGAAGTATCCAATTGAGTCATTTAGTCGTCAAAGTTAAGATTAACATGTGTAATCTTCTGTTTACCTCTTCCGAGTTAGACCAGTAAATGCATTATGCTCTCTGATTTGCATTTTTGGGTTCTAGCGAGTTTGCTCAGCTGCCTCGACTGTGTGGGAGTCCCTGGGGGTATTCGTGCCCAGCAGGAGCGTGCTGCCCCTCTCCCTTCACAAGCAGAGAGCTGTTCAGGGAGCTGGAGGGCTCAGGGTTTGGGAAGGAGGCACTGTCAGGGCGTAGGTTAGAGCAGGTTCTCATGAGTAAACCAGGACCCCTTGATGGCGCACAGCAGACTCCCCATGGGGGTGCTGAAAAGCCTTTGGCTGTGAGGAAGAAGGGTCATCTATGTAAATAAAGGCCCACTAGTCACCAGGTCCCATGTGAGGTGTGTGTCTCCCACCTGAAGTTCACTGGACAACTGATTCCTCTCCCTGGCCCTGATTGGCCCTTTTGTGCAGTTTTGAGTCAGCAGATAAATGGCCAAATGTAGAAAATATAAACGGGTCACTGCTTCTCTGAGTGCACAGGGCGATTCATCGTACTGTTCCCGTCCAGCTTGGTGTTTGGTGCTGCTCTATCCATGTCCTTACCGCCAGGCACGTGTTCGACGGGCTTGCTTCAGGCCACCTGTCCCTCGCAGACCCTTTCTCACCCACAGCAGTGTCACCGCCCCTTGTGGCACAGCCTTCCCCTCCGTCATTTCCTCCATGAACAGGCTGTCCTCACTCAGAGATTACAAAAGTGTTCTCTTCATGTTTCCTCCTAATAGGTTTAGTGGTTATGTTTGGATTTTTTATAAGTCGTTTGAGATATAATTCACATACCATACATTTCACCCATTTACTCAGTACAGGTGAATGGTTTTTAGTATAGTCACTGAGTTGTGCAACTATCACCTCCGTCTCATTTCAGAACCCCTTCGCCATCCTAACAAGAAACTCATTATCCACTGGGAGCCACTCTCCTTCCCTCCCAGCCCCCTGCCATAGGCAAGCACCAGTCAATCTTCTTTCTGTCCCTATGGATTTGCCTATCCTGGACATTTCATATAAATGGGATTGTATAATATATGGTACTTTGTGACTAGTTTCTTTCTTTAGCATAATATTTTAAAGGTAATTTATATTGTGCCATGTACCGGTATTCCTTTCTTTTTATTGTCAAACTAGAGGCCTGGTGCATGAAATTCACGCACTGGGGAGAGGGGAGGGATCCCTCAGCCCAGCCTGCACCGTCTCCAATCTGGGACCCCTAGGGGGATGTCTGACTGCCAGTTTAGGACCGATCCCTGTGATCGTGTCTAAACTGGCAGCAGACATTCCTCTCACAATCCAGAACTGCTGGCTCCCAACCACTCACTTGCCTGCTAGCCTAATTGACACCTAACTGCTCCCCTGCTGACCTGATCACCCCCAACTGCCCTTCCCTGCTGGCCCAGTAACCCCCAACTGCCCTCCCCTGCAGGCCTGGTTGCCCCAACTGCCCTTCCTTGCAGGCCTGGTCCCCCCTCCCACCCACCCCCGCAATTGCCCTCCTCTGCCAACCATCTTGTTGTGGCCATTTTTGACCCATGGGGATGGCCATCTTGTGTGAGGGTATGAGGGTCAATTTGCATATTACCTCTTTATTATATAGGATAATATCCCATTGAATGTATGTGCCACATTTTATTTACCTATTCATCAGTTGAAGGACATTTGGAATGGTTCTACTTTGGGACTATTATGAATAATGCTGCTAAGAACATTCGTGTACAGGCTGGGGTTTGGGGGTTTTTTTGTTTGTTTTTGCTTCTTTTCATTGTGGTAAAATATACATAACAATTGCCATTTTAACCATTTTTTAATTAATTTTTAAAGATTTTCTCCCAGTCAATAGCTTATCTTTACTTAATTTTTAGAGAGGAAGGGAGAGGGCGGGAGAGAGAGAACCATCATGATGAGAGCGAATCATTGATCGGCTGCCTCATGCACATCCCCTACTGGGGATCAGCCCGCAACCCAGTCATGTGCCCTTGACTAGAATCGAACTTGGGACCCTTCAGTCTGCAGGTTGATGCTCTGTCCACTGAACCACACCAGCTAGGGCCATTTTAACCATTTTTAGGTCCACAATTTAGTAGCATTAAGTACATTTATAATGTTATGAAGCTACCACCATTGTCCATTTCCAGAACATTTTTTATCATCCTATACAAAAACTCTACACCCATTAAACAAAACTTCCTCCAGCCCTGTAACCTCTCTGCTACTTTATACCTCTATGAATTTGCCTGTTGTAGGTACTTCATAAAAGTGGAATCACACACTATTTGTCCTTTTGTGTCTGGCTTATTTCAAAGTCTTATAGTTGTAATGTGCATGAGAATTTCATTCCTTCTGAAGGCTGAATGATATCCCATTGTGTGTATATACAATATTGTGTTTACTTATTCATCCATTTATGGGCATTGGGGTTGTTTCTACCTTTTGGTTATTGTGAATAATGCTATGATGAGCACTGGTGTACAAGTATCTGTCTGAGTCCCTCTTTTTCTTTTCTTTCTTTCTTTCTTTCTTTTTTTTAAGTGACAGTGGCAAGATTTATTCGAGCAAAAAGCTATAGTACATCTTTTTCTTTTCTTTTTTCACTGTATACTTACTAATGGAATTGCTGGATCATACTCTATGTTTAACATTTTGAGGAACTACCAAACTATTTCCCATAGAAGCTGCTCCATTTTACACTCCCACCAGCATGAATAAGGATTCCAATTTCTCCACACCCTCAGTAACATTTGTTATGATCTGTCTTTTGCCTTAGAGCCTAGTGAGTGTGAAGTGGTATCTCATTGTCTGTCTGTAATTAATATTTTTTGGATGATGAGAGATTGGTTTTTTTAATTTGGATTTTTATTTTCCAAATGGACAGCATTGTTAACACTATAGTGTTGAATTATTTCTTCCCCTGCTGCTATAAAATGCCATTTTTATTTTATATTAAACATATATACATATATAGGTCTGTTTCTAGATACTGTGTTATTGACATTTTGTCTATAACTATATGAATACGACACCATTTTAGTTGCTGCAGCTTTATAATATGTTTTAATGTCTGGGAGGATAGGTATCTTCCCAATATTGTTTTGGTTTTTGTTTTTTTCAAAATGTTCTTCATGATATTTGAACACTAGAGGCCCGATGCACGAAATTTGTGCAAGGGGCTTGGCCCTCGCAGCCCCGGCTGCCTTGTGGCCCCTGTGGTCCTGAAGCCCCGCCAACTGGTCAGTCAGGAAGGTCATTCCACCAACCTGTCTAATTATGATATAGAATGTTAGCTCTTTATTATATAGAATTGGTGTTTTTTCCAGCTTAACTTAAAAGTTAGCTTGTATAAAGTTATCTCTAACAGCCCTGGCTGGTATGGCTAAGTTGGTTGGGCATCGTCCTGTCCTGTGCATGGTTCAATTTCTAGTCAGGGCACATGCCTAGGGTTTTGGGCTTAATTCCCACTGAGGGATATGCAGGAGGCAGCCAATCAATGTTATGCTCTGACATTGATATTTCTCTCTCTCCCTCTGACTTTCTCTCTCTAAAAATCAATAAAATGAATAAAAATCCCTATCAGATTTTGATTAGATTGCACTGAGTTTGCAGATCGCGTGGGGAATCCCTTCTCCTTTTATTGGTTATCACAGAAACTAATTTTACTATCTGCTTTTCATACCAATAGGAATGTGATAAAAGGGAGGTGAAGTAATGGAATCTAAGATGGGTTAGTAGTTGGGCCCCTTGAAGAAACTCTGGGAAATATTTTGAGAAAATTCTAAATTCAGAAGTAAAACGAGCTGGGGCAGTGTGTCCCTTTAGTTACATGAACTAAAAGTTTAGTGCATCTGCCTAACAAGGAATGGACTGTCATTCCAGAATCTTGTATTGTGGAATATGAATGCGCCCCCTACATCACCACCACCACCCACACATACATAACTTTTTCTTCCTCTAGTACGATGCTGTCCGAATAAACCAGCTCTATGAACAAGCCAGGTGGGCCATTGTCTTAGAAGAAATTGACTGCACAGAGGAAGAAATGTTGATCTTCGCAGCACTGCAGGTATGGGAACTTCAGAACCTTCTCTGTGGAAGGAGACAAAGCAAGTTTGTTTTGCTCAAGTTTCATTGTATTCATACTGGCCTTTTCTTGGAAGACAGTACTAAAAATGAGGGCAGTGATTAAAATTTTAAATACTCCTTGTACACACATGTGTATAACTTATATAAAGCATCAGTCTTGCAATTCTTCCCTCTTCCCCAATACAAACTCAGCCGGTGATGGAGAAGAGCCGAGTCTGAACATGTCCAGCTTTGGATCTCAGAATTATTCAGATTAAAATGTCATTTTCTCTGCACAGGAGGGAGATCTCTGTGGAGATGTTTGGTATTACAGGAGAATTGTCTCCCAAAAAAGAACTGGCTAACGGATTTATTGTGCTTCTACCATTTCTAAAACCTGTTTCTTTGCAGTATCACATCAGCAAATTGTCGTCGTCCGCTGAAATACAGGACTTCACGAGTGAGTCTGAGGTCGATGAAGTGGAAGCAGCACTTTCTAATTTGGAAGTGACCCTAGAAGGTGGAAAAGCGGACAACGCTTTGGTATGGACTTTTCTGATAACTCCGAATTGTGGCTTTGTTCTGACTGACCAATGTGGGTGACATTTTGTTTTTTATCAGAAATAAGAGAATATTTTGTCTGAATTTGAGGAAAGAAAACATGCTGGTCATCTGACCAGTTTAAACCTAGCTAGAACTGATCAGCTTTCCCCGGTCAGCTCTGTGAGCTCTGTAAGTGTTCTCATTATGACTAGTGACAATACTATCACATCACATGTCTTCTTTGGGATGAGTTGGCCTGGTAGGAGAGAACGACTGCTGAGGACTCCATTTCACTACATGGAACATGAAATTAGTTCCTTAAGTCTAGAAAGAACTCTCAGTCTATTGTACAGGGTAGCTGTGGAAATACAGAAAATGCCTTACAGGTAACAAAGCCTTGTTATCTATTTACCTTAAGGGCAGGGACCTTTTTTTTTTTTTTTGGCCAAGGGCCATGTGGATATTTACAACATTATTCACAGGCCATACAAAATTATTAACTTAAAAATTAGCCCGTTACATTTGGTCAAACATTTAATTAATTCACCCCTAATGGCTTGGCAGCACCAGACCAAGTGATTTGATGGGCCAGATGGTCCCCACCCCTGATTACCTTTCCACTGGGCAAGGCTGACCGAAGTGAGGGCCTTTTTCTGGAACACGATAAAAATTTCCTGAACTCTTTTGACTTTAGTAAAACAGCTTTTGCTCCTTACCCATAAAATGTGGCCCAATGTCAGCTTTATCGTTGGAATGCCCCTGCATCTGGATGCATTGGTTGGGTGCCACACTTTTGTTTAACTTCTTTAATCATGGGAGTGGTTTAATCACATTGATTCAGAGAGGTGGATCCATTGTAATTAGATTTTTTTAAGTAATTGATAAAAATGAGTCACTGTGTTCTTATGTACTTAGTATGTGTTCACTGATGATTAAATTCCTTAAAATGAGGAACTGGTTCATGTAAAACTAAATATCATACCTGAAATGAACTCAAAGCCAAGGCACTGTAGAGAGTCAGAGCCTCCACACATGTATAGGAGACAGCCGCCCCATGAAATTGGAGTTCTTTTTTGTCTACTTCCACCACTAAGTACATACAAAAGGAAAGTGTTCCTTCCTAGAATGGATGAAAGTTTCCCTCCTCCCACCCTCAAGATATTTCCTGTCAAGGCTTTCTGATGTCAAACAATAGGCTTTTCAGTTTGAAAACAAGCACCAACCTACGGCTGTAGAATGAACTTTGAGCTAGGTACCTTTCCAGCGTTTAATCAGTAAACAGGTGTACCTAGGGCTACTCACTCTGATGCCCGCCCAAGTTGTAAAATACTTTTGTTTGTACGTAAAAATAGTTGTTTCTAATTCAAGTGTTTCACTGGAATGGTAGACACAGAGCATGCTTGGTCAAATTTTTAATCTCTTTCTCATTTATGTGATATGTGACATATACTAGTACAGAAAAATGAAAAACAAAAATGTACAGCCTATCAAAGGAGTATTAAATTATCTCCTAAGTCACCACCAAACCAATAACTAGAACTTGGCCAGCCACCACAGAAGCCCTGCATGTGCTCCATCCCACTCCCAACCCTGCCCCACCCCATTCCCCACCCTAAGGCAACTACTGGATGTGTGGCTAGTGTGACTGAGGAACTGAGTTGTCATTTTATATCAATGGTTCTCAACCTTCCTAATGCTGCAACCCTTTAATACAGTTCCTCCTGTTGTGGTGAACCCCCACCATAAAATTATTTTCGTTGCTACTTCATAATTATAATTATGCTGCTGTTAATGAATCCTAATGTAAATATCTGTGTTTTCCCATGGTCGTAGGCAACCCGTGTGAGTCATTCGACCCCCAAAGGGGTCGAGACCCACAGGTTGAGAATCGCTGTTTTATATCATTGTAATTAATTCAAGTTTAAATGGCTACATGTGGTGAGTGGCTATAGTGTTGGGCAGTGCAGGTATAAAGTATCAGTACCACGTGTCTAATCACTGCTTATGAAATATTATCTATGTTTTCTTAGGAGGACATCACTGATATCCCTAAACTTGCAGATAATCTCAAATTATTTAGGTAAGTCATCCTTAAAGGGACAAGGGATTACTCATAGCAAAGCCTTATAGGTAAAGAGTCCAGGAGTTTAAATTGAAGATCCACTAAGCAGATTCATGGTTGAAAGATAAGAGCGTGAGCTTTGGCATCAGACAGCACATGCTCCCTGGGTGACCTTGGGGGCTGTCCTTTTGTCTCTGAGCCTCAGCTTCCTGATCTATAAAATGAGGATATACCTCCTCCTGAGTTTGTTGAGAAGATTAAATAACACATATGAAACACTAAGCATGGGGCCTGGCTCTTAGTACATGGTGGTGTAAACATTGCCAGGGTCAGGCAGAACGAACATATATGTCAGACTGGAGTTTCTGTGACCGTCCGTCTGGGAGGCTCAACTCTGACACCATTTCCCTGTTCTTTCACAGTTTGAAAAGCAGTTGCCACTAGAACTTGGATCTCGGGCTTATAGAGGGATATTACTTATTATAGAGGGATATTATTTATACCCAGTCACCTCATGTCAATCAGAAACTGTTAAAAAGGCAGAGAAGTTTTTATTTCATGGTAGAAAAAGGACTGACATATTTGTGATGGTGCCAAGGTGCATTAGGATGAAAGGGAAAAGGTCCCTTTGAAGTTCTATCAGTTACTGTGTCACTTTATGGTTTGTTGACTTTTAACAAACCAACACTTCACTGGGTCATTGGCTTGAAAGGAAACCACTTGCTTTTGGTAATACAGAATGCAAAGAAAGACTTAGAAAGAATGAAAATGAATCAATCAGGTATAAATGAGAAAAAGGAACCCAAAGGTTTGTCCCTGGGTTTCTACAGCAAGCATGTCAAACTCAAAGGCTATATGGGCCACATAAACAAGGTTTAAGTTTATGTGGGCCACAAAAAAACCCAAAAGCTTCAATTTTTATAGAAACATAGGTTTATTTCAATAGAGACATGCTGAATACAATGGGCTGAAATAAATGAGTAATCGTTAACATAAAATATTGATAATAGATCATTTTATTAAAAAATTAATTTTTTCTTGAACATTAACTTACCAGACACTGAATAACTGCACAAATTAATAAGCATAATGCAAATAAACTGATTTTTCTTGTTCTCTAAAAGCAAAATATTTCCTGTTGCACACACCAAACAAGTTAGTCCAAGACTAATGATGTGGCAATCGGCTGCTAAAATACTTGCTGCTAGTATTAGTTGAGAGAAATGGTGTGCCTGCATGTAAGGAGTGAAAGGGAAATAAAGGCCACACAATTATAGTAACCGGTCATTAGCGAACGTTGTAGTTTGTTATTAATAATTATGTATAACAGGATATTGTAAAAATTAAGTTATGAAATTTTTATTAAAATGTTTCTTACATGCCGTTATACTGGCTGGATTGCAAAAATATTCGTTGTGGGCCACATGCAGCCCACAGGCCTCAAGTTTAACATGCTTGTTTTACAGGTTGTTTTCTTTTTAAAATGTGGTCTTAGGATGTGGTCTCAAACAGAAGGGTCATTAATAGGTGCAACCATGCATATCGTGATAGACAGAGCTACAGAAAAACAGTAATAATTTGAATCCACAAATATATTTTCATAAATCCTGATTAAGGTCGGGCCAGCCAGACCCCACCTATACACGAATTCGTGCATTAGGCCACTAGTATGTTAATAATATGCTAAGGCTGCTCAACCTTTGCTATGTTGTGCACTGACCGCTGGGGGGCAGATGCTCTGACTGGTAGGTTAGCTAGCTGCTGGGGTCCAGCCGACAGGGACTGAGCTAGATGGGCCAGATACTCCCTGAAGTCCTCTACCCCTCCCCGCTCCCCAAGATCCCTCCCCAGCTAGCCAAACTCCTGCATACCTTCCTGGTCCTGATTGTGCACCAGTGGGTCCCTTGGCCTGACCTTCACCCTCTCACAATCAAGGACCCCTTGGGGAATGTTGGAAAGCCGGTTTCAGCCCAATCCCACAGGCCAGGCCAAGAGACCCCACTGGTGCACAAATTTGTGCACTTGGCCTCTAGTTATTAATAATTGTTCTACAAAGAAAGTAGGTTGCCCTGTTCTCTGTATAGAGCAATTCCAGTTTTTTTTAAAAAAACCAATAATGATTTCCTCCCAACAGATGTTTTATTTTTTTAATATATTTTTTCTTGATTTCAGAGAGGAAGAGATAGAAACATCAATGATGAGAGAGGATCATTGATTGGCTGCCTCCTGCACGCCCCACTTTGGGGATTGAGCTCGCAACCCAGGCATATGCCCTGACTAGAAATTGAACCATGACCTCCGGGTTCATAGGTCGATGCTCAACCACTGAGTCGTGAGGCAAGGCCTCCCTGTAGATGTTTTAGGTGAAGGAGAAGACATCGTAGAGTAAAGCCCACATCCACATCACTATAATGGATTGATATGTTTAGACTCACAAAATCATTCTCATGTTTGGCCAGTGGGCACTTTATCAAAGGTCTCAAGACACTGAATTTAATATATAATATAGTCCACGAAGAAAGAAGTGAAGGAGGAAGGGAAGAGAGAGGAAACAAAGAAGAGGGGAGAAGAGAAGGGAGAAAGGAGAATGGAGTTCTGTTCCTAATGGGTGTGTGACCTTGAATAGGTCCTTCATTTCCCTGGGCCTCTTTTCGTTATCAGCAGAAAAGCATTGAACTAACCCCTGGATTTTTTGGTGTGTTTACTGACAGTGAAGTTTTTGTTTTTTTTCCCCCCCGAAACAAATTCAGTTGAGCTCACTATGTAAATAATGGATTTCAAATTCCAGCAGTCTGGCATTTGACCTAATGCAAATCCCAATGTTACCATAAATACATATGAATGCTGGATAAAATAAAACAAAAGAATTGTAAGTTAAAAAATTGATCTTGCCGAAACCGGTTTGGCTCAGTGGATAGAGCGTCGGCCTGTGCACTGAAAGGTCCCGGGTTCAATTCCGGCCCAGGGCATGTACCTTGGTTGCGGGCACATCCCCAGTGGGGGTGTGCAGAAGGCAGCTGGTAGATGTATCTCTCTCATCGATGTTTCTCTCTATCCCTCTCAATTCCTCTCTGTGTAAAAATCAGTAAAATATATATATATTTTAAATTGATCTTAAAGAGAGACTAAGAAACCCCAACTCCAGGAAATAAAGAGGGACCCTAGATTTACCAATGGAGCCTCAGCCACACAGAGGGAGTTGGTCCATGAACATCAATTCTCTTGTGGCCTCATGCAGGGATCAAAGATGAGGCTTTAAGGTGGGGTGTGCTTCATGTGAGGCAGGGAGCCAGGACTGAAGGCCCTGCCTAAGGGTAGAAACCTGCAAGGGCTTCCTTCTCTACTTAACAGGGAGTAAAAAAACTACCCATCAACCAAAGGAAGCTGTGAGGAAGTTAATTCTAGCATAGGGTGCTGTGTGGGGTTATGAAAAGTCTCTCTCAAGAAATTAGAGCCAAGGTCTGTGCCACACACTGATATAGATCTAAATTTAAATGATAAAAGAATCCTGAAAAAATTAAATAGAAACTGGATCAGGACCATAAAAATCTATGAAGCCCTAACAAATGTAATTTTAAAAACCTTGTAGGGAAATAGCCACAATCTGGCATGCATGGGCCTTCTACAGAAAACAATAACTCTCTTAAAAAAAAAAAAAAAAAAACTTCCAATAAAAATTACTAACCGTTTGAATCAATAAACCACCATAAAGGAAAAACATCAGACCCAGCCAACAACAGGATTAACAGTTTCAATAATTTGAAGTAATGGAACAATCTGAAGAAACCATAAATGAGTATGTTGAGAATCATTAAGTAAATTAAAAGATAAAAATTATAATGAAGGAGAACAGCAATATTGGAATGAAACCAAATAGAAATTCTAGAAATGAAAAGAAAACATACAGAGATTTAAAATTGAATAGGTGCATTAACCATCAAGTCTAAAAACACAGCTGAAGAGAGAACTACAGTCAAGTAGAAATGGGAAACATGATGTAAATAGAATGAGAAGAATCAGCTGGAAGTTCCAGAAGAAAATACGGGGAGAACCAAGCACTTAAAAGAGAGTGCTTAAAAATGTTTTATAATTATTGAAGATAAAAATCCTTAAATTCAAGAATCGCAGACCCCAATAAAATAAACCAGTGTGAAAGTATTTTAAATCAGATGGCGAAGACAGATTTTCTACAAAGAAAAACAGGTGGGCAGCAGACTTCTCATAGCTGGGAGATATCTTGAAAGTGCCAAGAGAAAATAAGTCAATCTGGAATTTTCTGCCTAACCAATTTTTCAAGATTATACTTTTTTGAAAATCCCTAAGTATAAACCAGACAAGAAATAATCCTACTAGTAAATTACATATTTAATAAAAAACGATGCCTTGGTTAGGTGGCTCAGTGGGTTAGAAAACTGTCCCATACACCGAAGGTTTAGGATTTGATTCCCAGTCAAGGCACATGCCTGGGTTGTGGGCTCGATCCCCAATGGGGAGCATGCAAGAGGCAGCTGATCAATGATTCTCTCTTATCATTGATGTTTCTATCTCTCTCTTCCTCTCCCTTCTTCTCTGAAATCAATAAAAATGTATATTTTTAAAAACCAGTTTATTCTGATATTATTTTATTATTATTGTATTGTTTATTTGTATTACAACTGTAAACCTGATTTTGCCCATACCTCTATATAAATATCACAAATAGCCAAAACCAGTTTGGCTCAGTGGATAAAGTGTCAGCCTGCGGACTGAAAGGTCCCAGGTTCGATTCCAGTCAAGGGCATGTACCTTGGTTGCAGACACATCCCCAGTAGGGGGTGTGCTAGAGGCAGCTGATCGATGATTCTCTCTCATTGATGTTTCTAACTCTCTATCCCTCTCTCTTCCTCTCTGTAAAAAAAATCAATAAAATATATATTTTTTAAAATCACAAATATACAATTGTAAATATGTTAAGGCAGCAATTCTCAACCAGTGTGCCACAAGATTTTTTAAAGTGTAGCTCAGCCGAAACCGGTTTGGCTCAATGGATAGAGCGTCGGCTTGGGGACTGAAGGGACCCGGGTTCGATTCTGGTTAAGGGCATGTACCTTGGTTGTGGGCATATCCCCAGTGGGGGGTGTGCAGGAGGCAGCTGATCGATGACTCTCTCTCATCAATGTTTCTAGCTCTCTATCTCTCTCCCTTCCTCTCTGTACAAAAACAATAAAATATATTTTAAAAAAATAAATAAATAAAGTGTAGCTCAGTGAGCAATGTTTTCTTCACCCAAAATAGAGTCTATAAAGACTAGCTGAAGATTTTAGTGCTTTCCATGGCTCCCTGGGAATTCTCTGGTGGTTTCTCTTAAGGGTCAAGAGGAAACCACAGAAGAGGTTACCTGTTTTCATATCTGATATTTATGTCTGACAACTTGAAGGTCATGCTGTTCACAATGGCAGTTTCTTCAGATCTAAGAAGTGTATGGAAATTTTATATGTCACAGGTTCATGGATGTTTCTCACAAATAATAATTATTACCATTATAATAATAATAATAATTATTATATTTATTATTTATATTATTATTATTATTTACCACCTATTATTCACCTCTACATCTCAGAGCAAACCCCATTCGTCATTTTTAAAAATGAAGCATATGTTGTTTGAAAAAGCGTCTTAATGTGCTTGAAATTTGCAATGTTTCCTACATTTCTGGATGTTGTTTGAACGTTTCCCGTACTTTCATTTGCAGGCCCAAGAAGCTAATATTAAAAGCTTTCAAACAATATTGGTTCGTCTTTAAAGACACGTCTATAACCTACTTTAAACACAAGGAACTTGAAGAAGGAGAACCGGTAGAAAAGTTAAATCTTAGAGGTCAGTGGGCTCTACTTCGCTGTGGCTGTCGTGACCCAACGGGCAGAGGAAAGCCTTCACTTCTCCGGGGAAGCGAGGCTGACTGCCAGTGCGTCCCTGTGTTCCAAGGCCCTGCCTGCAGCTCCGGCCCCGGCACATGGGCCTGGAGTGTGGTTTAGTAAACATGGTCATGTATAGTCTGCTGTTTCTTCTTCCCCAAATCTATGAAGTAGTGGTCATTGGTGTCATAAGTATAATACATTGTAGGCTCCTAAGAAGCTTCCTGAATTCTAGAACAGTTATATTTAATTCAATGTTGCTTTAATGCCTATTCTAAGTTCTGAAAGTGACTGTAAGTGTCCTGGTAACTCTATTAGTTGAAATGTTTTACTAACCCGTACACTCAATTCCCTTATTGCTGTGGCAATCATAGAATTTCCTGAGTTTTGATTTATTTTGAAGGTCATATTCATAACTGTTCCTATGGGTTAGTTCACATTCATAATGGTTTTTATAGGTTTGGATAGCCAAATCAATCTTAAAACCGAATTCAATTGCTGATATATTTTTTAAATAATAAAAGAAAATATTTTTCTCTATTCATGTTAATTGTAAGTCTTATCTACTTAACCTTTAATTAATATTATCAGCTTGCTCCTCCATTTTTCATAAGAGAACAAAATTTCAGAGGCTTATTTCAAAGTCTTCCTTTTAGTTGCACACCTGATATTTATCTAATACATTCTCCACAACTCAGCTGTGACCCTGCCTTTTGTTATTCAGGCTGTGAAGTTGTGCCAGATGTGAATGTAGCAGGAAGAAAATTTGGAATCAAGTTACTAATCCCTGTTGCGGATGGTATGAATGAAGTGTATCTGAGATGTGACCATGTAAGTAAAACCATACAAACATTCAGTCATTTCACCTTTATTAAACCTAAGGACACACCATCTGAGGTATTTTCTCAAATGAGAATACTATTGTACCAGTTAGCTATTGTTTTGTAACAAACCACCACAAAAGTCGCAATGACATATACTGATAAACACTTGTTTCTGAAACATCTGCAGGTAGGCCGGGGGTGGAGGAAGCAGGCTGGCTTCAGCAGGGAATATCTGGCTGAGCCTGGCTGTTCACTGCAGTTTGAGCTCATTTAATTTATTCTGAGTCCTGAGCTGCCTGGGGAGGCTCTTCTCACAATGATGGCAGGAATGCTAGAAAGCAACTAGAAGCAGATGAGGCCTCTCCACACGTAGGCTTGCGATTGGTCCTTTCCACCCTTATTCAATTGGCCAAAGTGTTGTGGAGCGAACTCAAGTAAAGACCACTGGAGCCCAGACCAAATTAAAATTTAGGGAGCCTTTATTAGCCGGCCGGCCTGCCAGCCAGCCAACCAGCAACTGCTCTGCCTTTCTCCACACAGGGAGACAAGAGAGCAGTCCCAACTCTGTGCAGGACCACTTTTTTTTTTTTAATATATTTTATTGATTTTTTACAGAGAGGAAGAGAGAGGGATAGAGAGTTAGAAACATTGATGAGAGAGAATCATCGATCAGCTGCCTCTTGCATAACCCCTACTGGGGTTGTGCCCGCAACCAAGGTACATGCCCTTGACTGGAATCGAACCTGGGACCCTTGAGTCTGCAGGCCGACACTCTATCCACTGAGCCAAACCGGTTTCAGCATGCAGGACCACTTTTAAGACATTAACCACATCCTGGTTTTGCAGAACAAGTAACCCAAGACAAAACAGTTTTTCCTAAGCTAAGTCAGGATCATGCCATTGACGATCATGTACTTATAGGATCTTCCTGTTCTTCAGAAAGCTGACAGTGATCTATAAACGAAGGCCTACGTGCTGGGAAGGGGCCATGAGACCCTATCTCAAGGCCTGGCCTGGTGTCAGCACTGACAACTCTATCTGGGGCATAGTCCACGGCCTCTCTGGAAGGATGCTCAAAAATTCCCACTAACAAAAGCAAGCCTCATGGCTGGGCCCAACATCAAGTGGGGGTAATTACACTCTGGCTGTTGTGGGAGGGACTATAAAGTTACATGTCAAAGGGAGTGGAGATTGAGGCCAGTGAGTCAATGGACCACACCTACTGTTGCTGTGAAGAATTTCACTCTTCAGCTGCATCCGCTCAGCTTCTGGGACTACTCCTCTTTACTCCCCCAGGTTAGGAAAATGCAGACAGATAGGAGGCACCCCTCTCTGGTTCAGAGCTCATCCATGGACCTGATTCCTACTGTGGACTAGAGTCTTTATTAACGATAATATAGGAAATCAGTTCATGATTTTTTTTTTTTTCTTGTTCTGTCAGAGAGATCAGATGTGATCTGAAAATGGAAATCTATATCCAGGAAGGCTATCTGGTACTTGAGGGTTTCAGCTGTCTGTGCTCCATAGCACACATCCTTGGTTCATCTTTAAATTTATGGAATTTAGCAAGACTGACATTGCTGTTCGCTAGCCCCTTAACTAGACACTCAACACAAGAATCAAAGGCCCTTGTTGGGTGTTAAGTTAGGTGAATAATGGCCACTCAGAACATATGCCACTGTAATCTTTCCATGCTTGGAAGGTGACAATTTTGTATGATAGTCCCAGGACCTGATCTTGCTTCTCTGCCCTCCTGTGTTTGCTGCAGGAGAATCAATATGCCCAGTGGATGGCTGCCTGTATCTTGGCATCAAAGGGCAAAACCATGGCAGATAGCTCCTACCAGCCAGAAGTCCTCAACATTCTTTCATTTCTGAGGATGAAAAACCGGAATTCAACGTCTTCCTTGGCCTCCAGTCCTGAAAACATGGACATGAACCCGGAATGTTTTGTGTCACCCCGGTGTGCAAAAAAACACAAGTCTAAACAGGTACTGCTGATTTTGTTGGGGTAATGGTTTGCAGTGTATTCTGTCTTTTTCTGAAATAAAATGAGGAATTAAAATAATTGAGGCCGTCATCATGAAAAATCAGTTGATGGGCAAATTTGACTACAGACTGGGTATTAGATGATATTAAGAAATTATTGTTAGCCAAAACCGATTTGGCTCAGTGGTAGAGCGTCGGTCTGCGGACTGAAAGGTCCCAGGTTCGATTCTGGTCAAGGGCATGTACCTGGGTTGCGGGCACATCCCCAGTAGGGGGTGTGCAAGAGGCAGCTGGTCGATGTTTCTCTCTCATCGACGTTTCTAGCTCTCTATATCTCTCCCTTCCTCTCTGTAAAAAATCAATCAAATATATATTTTTTTAAAAGAAGAAAAAAGAAATTATTGTTAATTATGTTAGAAGTAACTGTACTGCTTATTGAATATATCATTATATCCTGATATAGTCTAATTAAAAATAAGGCCCTAACCCTAGCTGGTTTGGCTTGGTGAACAGAGCATCGGCCTGCTAACCGAAGGGTCTCAGGTTTGATTCTGGTAAAGGGCACATGCCCGAAGTTGCTGGCTTGATCCCCAGTATGGGACATACAGGAGGCAGCTCAATTATTCTCTCTCATCATTGATGTTTCCGACTCTCTCCCTCTCCCTTCCTCTCTGAAATCAATAAAAATATTTTAAATAAATAAATAAAATTATTTAGTCCCTACAAATAAAATTTTTAAATTATGCTTCCATAAGCATGGGTTAAAAAGTCAAACAGATAAACTGAATCAAGTAGACCCATTGTCCACAGACACACCACTACCCCAGAAAGAGGAATCCAGAACACTCCACCTCCATGAGCCTTAGAAGCTCTTGTGTTGGTTGATCTAGTTTCAGCTTCTCCCTGGGGATTTGAGTGTGTGTGTGTGTGTGTGTGTGTGTGTGTGTGTGTGTGTGTGTGAGAGAGAGAGAGAGAGATAGAGAGAGAGAGAGAGAGGAAGAGAGAGAGAGTGCAAAATTAGTCATATTTGAAAAGCTACAGGTGGATCTCCCTTTTATTTTCTCTTAGCGATCTGGAACTAATCGGATGGTTATAGAGCAGTCAGTGCATGCTAAGGAGAGTTTGATGTCTCTTGTCTCTGTTTAGCTGGCAGCCCGAATTATGGAGGCCCACCAGAACGTGGCCCAGATGTCCCTGGTTGAAGCCAAGCTGCGGTTCATTCAGGCATGGCAGTCTCTACCCGAATTCGGCCTCACTTATTACCTTGTCAGGTGATTACAATGTTCACTTGCTTCTCTCGCTTTCCTTTCCATTTTAAGTGGTTTTCTTGGAACTGTTCATTCTCACTTAATCTAGGGCAGTGGTTGGCAAACTCATTAGTCAACAGAGCCAAATAGCAACAGTACAACGATTGAAATTTCTTATGAGAGCCAAATTTTTTAAACTTAAACTTCTTCTATCGCCACTCCTTCAAAATAGACTCGCCCAGGTCGTGGTATTTTGTGGAAGAGCCACACTCAAGGGGCCAAAGAGCCACAGGTGGCTCTAGAGCCGTGGTTTGCCGACCACTGATCTAGGGTGTAGAACTCTTTATTTTTAGAATTCTGTCCTTTCACAAATAGTCCCAAACTTTTGGCTGCTCAAAAAGAGCTTCTGTACTTCTGCCCAAGGTGCCAATACCCGTGAATCCTATAAAAGGTAGGAAAGCAAATTTGGTCCTTTTAGAATAACAATATTTGCAAAACCAGAGAGAGAAATCACCCATTGATTTTATGAAACCTGTGACCTCCTTTCTGGTCAAGTTTCCCCCACTAGACATAAGCTCCATGAAGTCAGGGATTTTCCATCCATTTAGGTCACTGCTATTGTCTCATTGCCTAGAAGGGTGCCTGGCATACACAGGTGGTGCTAATTTTGAATTAATTAATTTGACCCCCTTTTATTTTGCTTTCCTCTAAAGTCAATTTCACTTAAAGAATGCCTTTGAGCCGAGACCGGTTTGGCTCAGTGGATAGAGTGTCAGCCTGTGAACTAAAAGGTCCCGGGTTCGATTCTGGGCAAGGTCATGTACCTTGGTTGTGGGCATCTCCCCAGTAGGGGGTGTGCAAGAGGCAGCTGATTGATGTTTCTCTCTCATCGATGTTTCTAACTCTATCCCTCTCCCTTCCTCTCTGTAAAAAATTGATAAAATATATTTTTAAAAAAAGAATGCCTTTGAGACAGTCTTAATTCTCTCTGTAATATTCTCTAGATTACAATAAAAATGCCCTTTTGTAGAAAGATACCTCTTCATTGTTCATTCTTTATAGATGCTTTAGAAATGTTGGTATTATTTATCTTTAAGAAGTTGTTTGTGAAAAACAGCATATTACAAGAAGCAGTTACTTCTTTTAATTTTTTTTTTTTTCAGATTTAAAGGAAGCAAGAAAGATGACATCCTGGGAGTTTCATATAATAGGCTGATTAGAATCGATGCAGCCACTGGGGTCCCAATTACAACATGGAGATTTGCCAACATGAAACAGTGGAATGTAAATTGGGAAATCCGGCAGGTAAAGTGAAAGCTTCGGGTATATATGGTATTGAGCCTATAGTTGTGTGCCCTCAAAATTGCAGATTATTCTGATTTTAAAAGCTGTTCTTATATTTAGAACTCAGAAACCACAAGCATGTGGTCATTGTCTGCTAAAATAACCACAGGCAATTCTGGGCAGTTTTCTAACAAGTACAGATCAAAAATGCTTTTGAATTACCCCACTAGTTGGCTTAGTCTCCATACAGATTCTAAAATTGCTGAGCAGTTTGATTCATTTCCTTCAACTCACCATGGGATTATAGAAGACTTAGCAAAAACTACATAAGATGGAACTATCACCCAAAATAAACCCAGAACTCTGACCGGCTGCCAAAATGCCTAACTGGTGGAGGGCTCGGCGGCTCCATTCCCCACCTGGAGAGCATTCCAGCCCCAAAGGGGAAAAACTGCTAGAGAACAAGTTTAGGAATTCTCCAACTCTCAGCACCCCATCATCCGCACCTAGGAGCTAAGTTCTGGCCAAGGCTATGTCGTGGGAAATGCTCGGTGAAGTTAGAGCACCTTAGCATCCTGCTGGTATGGAATCTCTCTTCCCTCCTTTCCTCATTTTTCCAGCAGAAAACATTCAATGTGGAGATATGGTAAGAGACTCACACTTTTTTTTTATTGAGGAGAGAAAGAGACAGAGAGAGAAAGATCAATTTGTTATTTATGCGTTCGCTGGTTGCTTCTTGTATGTGCCCTGACCGGAGATTGAACCCACAACCTTGGCATATCAGGATGATGCTCTAACCAACTGAGATAGATACCCGGAAACTCACAATTTTTTTTTTTTTTTTAAAGAGCTATGGATTTCTGTCAGCAGAGTTGTTGACCATCTGGGCACTCATTTTTAGAATGAAGGTTGGGAGTGGCACTAAAATTGTGTTACATATTAGGATTGCCTGGGAGTTTTAAAATACCACTGCCCAGGCCAAATACCAATGCCCAGGCCACTCCCAAGACCAATTAAAGCTGCATGTCTAGGGCAGTAGCTGGGCAGCAATAATTTTTAAAGGGCCTCAGGTGATTGCAATGGGCTTCCACGGTTGAAAACTCTTTATGTTTCTTCTAATGCAGTAGTCGGCAAACTCATTAGTCAGCAGAGCCAAATATCAACAGTACAACGATTGAAATTTTTTTTAAGAGCCAAAATTTTTAAACTTAAACTGTATAGGTAGGTACATTGTTATTAACTTAATTAGAGTACTCCTAAGCTGGCCTTTGCTAAAAATTCAAGGGGCCAAAGAGGTGCATATTGCTCTAGAGCCACAGTTTGCCGACCGCTGTTCTAGTGCTTAGAGTTTATGACTTTCAGCGGGGAACAGGTGAGGGCCAGGGGCTGGAGGAAATTTCAAGAGGACCTTTTACTCTCCATTAAAACGTCTGTAAAATACCTTCCCTTTGACATCAGGCGTGCTTAGAAAGTCCTACATCTAAACAAGAGACAGACTGTGTGTGTGTGTGTGTGTGTTTGTGTTGAGAGTTAGAGTGTTTTGCACCCTACCTGGTTTTGCTCTGTGGATAGAGCATTGGCCTGCGGACTGAAGGGGCCCGGGTTCAATTCCAGTTAATGCTCAGGTTGTGGGCTTGATCCCCAGTAAAAGGGAGGGAAGCTGATCAATGATTCTCTCTCATCATCGATGTTTCAATCTCTCCCTCTCTTTTCCTCTCTGAAATAAATAAAAACATTTTTAAAAAATAAAAAGTGTTTTGCCAGGATCACAGCAAAAGTTGACACCACAAGAGGGCGCAGAGAGCAAGGATGTTTTCTGTAAGGGGAAGTTTTGTAGGCTTTTGGGAGAAATCCATCAGTCAGCTATCTCAGTAGCCTTCTGCTCTGGGGCCATCTCCTGCAAAGCAGCTTCTTTCTCGTCTTCCTTGTCAGAGGTTAAGCTTCCCTGTGCTTTCTCTTCCAGGTGGCGATCGAGTTCGACCAGAATGTCTCCATTGCGTTCACCTGCCTGAGTGCAGATTGCAAGGTGGTGCACGAATACATCGGTGGCTACATTTTCCTGTCCACCCGCTCCAAGGGCCAGAATGAAACACTAGACGAGGACCTGTTCCACAAGTTGACGGGCGGTCAGGAATGAAGCAAAGCAGGCCTCCTGGGCCTACACACCGAGGGCGAGCCAAAGGCGATCCTCCCCGGACGGTGGGATCCGTGGCTTGCACTGTGTATAGATTCCAGACTGACAGACAACGTCTATTCACCACCAGTCACTCAGATCCTGACCTCGTTTCAAACACAGTGCCTGGCACCACCACCCCCCAACTTTGCTTGCTTTGCCCTGTGCTATGAGCAGTGGGAGGAGCCTCAGTTGCCTTTTCTGTAAAATGGGAGGGTGAGAGAAAGGGTAGCAATCTAAGATTATTCTAAGGCCCAGCCTATAGCTTCAGCTCTGTGCCTTACAGAACCTGCAAGTGAGTGGCCAGAAGTTGTTCCTGTGCTTATTCTGCTCCATTGCTAAGTCAGGGTAGAAAGCAAATTTTAAAAGCACGTGTAGCAAGAGCAAATCTATCCCACAAACTCAGGTGTGAAAGGAAATAGGTCGTCCTGCTTTTAGCTCCCATCTTGTGGTGGAGGAAATCCACACATACACATTTTCCATGAAGGTCAAGGCATGGAGGTTGGGGGGTGGGAGTAGGATTTCTGATACCAGTTGGTGATAAGAGGTCAAAATAGTGACCCTCAGTCCACAGTGACTTCTGCCAAGGTGACCACTGACCCATCTGGTTTGGACATTGGTCCTCTCAGATTACTGCTGTGTCCCACAAGTCCCATTCCAATCTAAGGCTCCCTCGATCACCTCTATATCCTTGATGACATGGGTGACAGGAGTACAGGGAACCTATTTCTCAACTCGGCCCCATATCCCCACTGCTTCTACTCTGGGTTGGGGCTCAGGAACACGGGCCCAAATCTCTCTGTTCATAAGATACCTCCCCACATTCCGGCTTCCAGTGAGGTCCCCACCCAACTGGTCACAGAGAAGGGCTGGACACAGGCCTGGCCACTGGCTTCCACCTGCACAGCCTTTCTGGTCTTGGGGGCAGGGGAGCCTTGCCCTTGTCACTCACAGTGTCCTGGATTTGGTGTCTGTTTGTATGACTCTGGCCTTTCCCCTTAAGGGCCGTGGCTTTCTTAAATCAAAAGCCAATTATAGACTTCTTTTCTCTCTCCTTAAGAAATGAATGTAGGCCCATTAACAGCTGCCTCGGTTGTCATTTTCTGGTTTGGTTTGTCAGCACTGGGAGGAGTGGGTTTTGAGAAGGTAAAAAGCAATACCAAGGGGAGAGAGAACTATCAGGTAGTATTTTATTAGTTTTCTGTAACGGAAGGCAGAGGCTCCGTTTCCATTTTGAAATTCACTAAGATGCACACTCCAGGGGGCCTGGCCAGAGTTCAGATGCTAGAATACATCAGCCAGCTATTGCTGTATTTCCCAGCACAACCTTTTTATATTATTATTATTTTCAGAGAGGAAAGTAGAGATAGAAACATCAATGATGAGACCTAGCCCGCAACCCAGGAATATGCCCTGACCTGGAATGGAACCCAGGACCTCCTGGTTCATAGGTCAGTGCTCAACCACTGAGTCATGGCAGCAGGACGCCAGTACAGCCATTTGAAAAGAGATGTCCAGGATTCCAGGAGCCACAGTGAGACAGCCTTGGATAGGGAACACCAGTCCTGTCACTGGAAATTCCTTTCAGCCTCTCTTTAGAGAGGAATGGGAATGAGCACCATCTGAACCTCACAGGGTTGCCTGCAAAGCTCCGAGGCGGCTTAGGTCTTGGAAAGAACTTCATTTGAAATGTTTTCTATACAAACACGTGCTGAACTCACTGTGTTACACTTGGTGTTGGTCATTTCTGGAGAGTCTTGGGCTCTATTATTTTAGAACTTAGTGAGGTCTTTAAGATGATGGTGAGTCCTACATTAAGAGAATGCTCCTTGCCATGGCCGGTTTGGCTCAGTGGATGGAGTGTCAGCCTCCAGACTGAAGGGTCTCGGGTTCGAATTCCTACAAGGGCACGTACCTTGGTGGCAGGCTCAATCCCTGGCCAAGGTTGGGACACATATGGCAGGCAAGCAGTCGATGTGTCTCTCTCACGTTGATGTTTCTCTCTCTGTGCCTCCCCCTGCCTTCCACTCTCTCTCTCTCTCTGACAGTCAATGGAAAAAATATCCTCGGGGGAGGATTAACAAAAAAAATAAAAAGAAAAGAATGCTCCTTGATGTGACATGTCACCTGCCTGCAGCCCAGGGCAGCTCTGCCTCACTTACCAAAGCCAGACCTGCAGTACAGCCCTCTTCCTTAGCTTTCCAGGCTTGTCAGACGTTGCCATGGAAACGCTGAAAGAACCTGTTTCAACCAAACTTTCCGGGAACATTTATGCCACGATTATACAGCCACATCCTAAAGGAATAACCAAGTGTGACATGAAAACCTTAAATGCTGCTGCTATTCCAAAGAGGACATTTTTTCCTTTGGGCGCAAAAGGTCATCCGACTGCTTGTGACAAAACGTTAATGTGTGCCTTTCAACTCCGTTTGCTTTCTTATCTACACTACATTGGGAAATCTGCCCTTGTTTTTTTTTTTTTTTTTTTACAACTTTTCTAATTAAATGGTTTATATGGATTTGAGTATGGTCTCATGTGTTCTCTCCAGTCTGCTGTCTCTAACCAAATATTTTTCTCTGTTACGAAAAAGGAGTGCAACTTTCAGGTTTAACATGTGATTTTCCTCACAATTCTGAGATTGGAGCTCATTCTCCCCGGTGGGACTGACTTCGAAATCCGTTGGCTTCAACTCCGTTCTCATTGACCTTCACCAGATCTCCTGACATGTCCCGGGCTCTTTCGTCGCGGCTCTGCCTCTTGGAAACAGCACCAGAGAGCCAGGAAATACCCAGAGGCAGGGGAGCATCAGAGGGCTCTGATTGGATGGCCAAATGTCAAGGGCATTTTTTGATTATTAATAGATGGTCCATAGGGTTCACGGGCCTCTTCATGCAACTTCTCACATCAACCCATAGGGGGCAGGAACAGTTTGCCTTCTTATTTCCCAAAGGACACAGGCTCAGCCAGGTTGGGGGTGGAGTGGGGTGCAGTGAGGGAAAAGGTAAAGGAACTAAGAAGTACAAATTGGCAGGAACAACATAGTCATGGTAATGTACAGCACAGGGAATATAGTCAATAATATTATATCAGTTGTATCATGTGTGTGGGGGTGGTGGGGGGTAGGGGACTAGACTTATGAGGGAGCAGATTCCTTCAAAAGTTATATAAATGTCTAACCACTATACCTGAAACAGGTAATATTGAGTGCTAACTATAATTGGAAAAAAAAAAAGTAATAACAGTGAAGTAACTTTACCCAAGGAAAACCACCAGTTCATCAGTCCACAGTGACTTCTGCCAAGCAGTAAAACTGATTCAAACCCAGGTTTGCTTAACTCCCAAAACCACTAAGTGTAAACCAGAAACCCCACCCTTCCATTCCCAGCGCTGCTCAGCCTTGATGTGCCTGCGTCCAGCCCCAGCCCCCATGCCGGCTTCCCCTGAGTCAGTCCCCAGGGCCCTCACTAATAGGAGAGAGCACTGGGTGTTGGGGATTGGCTGACCCCAAAGTTAACGGGAGGTGGATCAGAAAGGTCTGGAAGCCAGAAAAGTGAGTTCCCTAGAGAGTATTTTATTTATGATTCTGGGCAAATTTGGTTTTCAATCCCAAGGTCAAAAAGGGAAGCTAATGAGTCTTTCATTTGAAAACCCATCTTTTATTTGTAGGCACTAGAAGCCAAGACATCTGGCAGTATTTATTTTTCTAAAATCATTAAAATCTTGCTCTGCCAGCGTGGTTCAATGGTTGATCGCTAACCGATGGACCGGGAAGTCGCAGTTCGATTCCCGGTCAGGGCACAAGTTGTGGGCTCAGTGTGGGGCATGCAGGAGGCAGCTGATCAATGATTCTTTCCCATCATTGACGTTCCTATCTATCTCTCCCTCTCCTTTCTGTGAAAACAATAAAAATATATTTTTAAATAAATCATTAAAAGCTTTTTAAATTATAACGTCTTTTTCACTTCAGTACATTTAACAACTCGTTCATTTTCATTATTTTCCCACACAGTTGTGATTTTCATGTTCCCCCTATTCCTCTTCCACCCCGAAACTCTGGAGAAAGGCCAGGGAGGGAGGGAGCATTCTTCTTTGCTATTTCACCCTCTTTTCTCTTTATGCTTCCTACCTCCAGGGACTTTTGAGTCCTGGAAATCATGGATGGAAAAACTACATGACAGCGCCTGGCCTTTTCTTGTGTTGAAGTGTCCCCATCCCCTCTCTCAACACCTGGAACTCACTGGAGCTGTGGAAACACTGAGTGCCGTCAGGAGAGACAGAACACCAGCCTGCTCCCATTCTCTGTCCTCACCAATGCCTGTGCGGACCCTGAACTCCCGCTGTCCTTGGGATGATAGGTTCTCGGACTTCCTTAAAGCGAACCCTTCTTGCTGAATGAAGGATAGGATCTAGTAAGCCACCATGAGCCCAGAGTTCCATGGGAGCCACTCAGGATAATGCCAGTTTAGGTGATTTAGAAAAAGTCTCCCCACATTTGCCCACATATCCCATGACACATCACAACTCAGTTACCTCAGAAGAGCCCCTATGAATTAAAACACACATAAACAATGGCAATTAAAGGTTTATCTTTAGGCTCACTAATGCTCCCCACTAACAACTGTGGGAAGATTCTTTTCACTAAGCCTTCCTTCCTCTGTGACCTTGAAACCCCATGATTCCCCTTTGTGCCTCAGTTTCTTCAGTTGTCAAAGAGGGTACATCCGAGAGCCACTTTCCTTCAGGGGATCTTCGAATGATGAATGTTGACTGGAAACTTAGGATATTATTTCTATTCTTCTGCCAATGAAAGGTGAGGGGGAAGGCCTTTGGCTGCTCCTTGAGATCCCTGGGATGCAAAAGTGTGCCCTGCAGAGGAGGCACAATCATTTGAGAAGAGCCCAGAGTCTCAAGGAAGAGAGGGCTCACAGCCCAAGCCTGCGTTGTCTGATCCAGAGCCTTAGTG